AGCACCATTGGAAGGCCCGGTTATTGTTGTTGATTGTTTTGCTTCATGTTGCAGTGCAAGGAAAAGATGCGCCCAGTGAAACGAGCGCTGAAAATGCTCGAGAATCCCGAAGAGAACACCAGTGAAAAGGATCAAGTAACACAAACAAAACAGGTAAAAACAAAGATTTCCATTTTACGTATACTGCTTGAACGCTCGATTTCCGCCGTTCTCTCGAGTCCGGGGTTCCTTTCCCGAACAGTGGCTAGTAATCAAGCCCAACCCGATATTTCTTGCGGGAAAAAAACGTTATCATATCATTAAGGGTTTTAAGCAATAGCTTATCCTCTTTCGACTTTTACTTCCTTCTTTGTTTTCAAAACTGTTAGTAATAACGTAAGAAATTACTGTGTTATCGGGTGGCTGCTGTATGATTTTTGCCTTCTATGTTGACTTTCATCTTAATTTCTTTCAGTGCTTGCTTAAAATTGGAGATCACATCATGGAAATTACGTCTCATTACAAAGACGCTGATGTTATTGCAGATTGGAGAAAGTAAGAACAAAGATTTATTTTACCTCCTTTTGTACAGTCGGTCGAACTGAAGTCAACGAGATATTTTGCTTTCAAATAGCCGCTAATTTTGTTTTTTCTTTTTTTGTGTTTATTAAGCAATCTTTGGACGTTTGTTTCAAAATTCACGTCATTTGAAGCTAAGAAACTCTTCAAGGTTTACAAGCACGCCGTGAAGAAAAGAGAGGAATCAAAATTACAAGAGGTACCAATAGGTTCCGTTAAGAATATAATCTTGTCCCTTCTGCACTAGGTGTTAAGAAAAAAAGGCAGAGAGATCTTGGGCAGCTGTATAATTCGACCCCGTTACATTAAGGTACTTAGTCGCATTTACGGTTGAGTTACCGTATTTCACGCTTGTTAGCAGATCTCGAAAGTAACGACCATCCGAAAGAAGTGACCTCAAAGAGAGTTCCTTAGGGGAATTAACAGTTACAACACGTTTTACCAAAGTGATATCATATTTATTGTAGTATTTAAGCCTGTTTATTTTTTTATTTTTTTAGCGTTCCCAGCACAAGCCGGCTCCTCATTCACAGCGGCCACCTCAAGATTCTTCAGGAGGGCCCCTCTCCAAAAAGCATCCAGGCGATCATGCGCCTCAGCGGTCCAGCGAGCTGAAAAGACCAGCTGACGGCGTCGGCTCTTCTCACGTAGGGCCTGGGGGAAAGATAGCCCGGATGGACCGTACACACTCAGGGTCAAGTTCCCACAGTGGGGCACGGCATTCTGGGAGCGGGGATGGATACGATCCCCGTAGGTCCTCGTTCAGCCACTCGGAAAGAACTGGTGGATCAAACAAGGACAGATCACGTGACGGGTACGTCAAATGTTTGTGACGAGTCTTCTTATTTCTGACGTTTCCCGACAATTGGGCAAAATGCTTATGGTTGTTTACTTAAATGATTAAAACATTTCATTCTTTTGCAGACACGACCACAGTCACAGATACCACGATTCACACCGCGACAGGCCTTCGTATCACTCCTCCGACTACTCCCGAACACACGACAGATCCTCGGATCACAGTCGCTCCCATGACCAACACTCGCGATCTTCCTACGAGAGGAGCTCGGATCACCACTCCCGATCTTTCGAGAAAGGTCGAGACCGGAGAGACGACCATCACCGAAGTAGCGCTCGGGATTATTCGTCTGAAAGTCGGTACCATTCGCACCGCGATCGGAACAGCGATTCAACGTCTCGTCATGCAAATCCGTCGAGTTCGCCCAAGTCCGGCGTTGTACACGATAGCAAAAGACATGGAGAAGAGAAACGAGGCCTTGAGACTGACCGGGAGAAAAGATGACAGCTTCTGATTTCAAATTATTTTACTGAACTTCAGAGTAGATTTTTTAGCACATTCTTGATACAAAGCGTCAAAATTCAAACCCAGTACGCGGTCGAGATATTTCAGTGTTAAGTTGATTATTTATTTTCTAAAATAAAATTGGTTGTATTTGTTCGTAGACTATCGGGTGTATGTATGTAATATATTTTCATGAAAATGCTAACCTAGGAGTGTTTCGTAGAACTGACCCTTCCTGTTAAAAACTTTTGATTTGTTTACTTCAAAAGCAGAAGTACAGTTTGAAGATTGTTTGTCTCGTTCACTGCTATGCAAGCATAGAACGTGAGTTTTGTTGTGGAAGTTTTGTAATGTAAGGTAGATTCGTATTTTTATCCTATTTTGCATCCGTGTGTAAAATATAAATTCCAAATGTATGTAGCTGTACAGTTTTGATGACAAAACGCCAACTTGAGAGGAAATAAAATGCGGGTTGTTTTCTATGTTTACTTTGAGTTTAAAGACAAGAAACGATACTATCGTTCCTATTTGTCCCATTCCTAAAGAAGCCGTATTTTCTCTTCCTGTCTCATTTTTTATTTCTAATTTCCGATCAAATTCTGTTACCAGTAGCTGTAGTGAAAGTGTGTTAAAAACAACGCAGATTTTTGAGACTTTTAAGCTAACAGTGGCTACTGAAACACAGGCGTATGAGCGTGCGTGGGTCGATGGGAAGAAAGCTCCCCACTCCGCGGGAACTACGCGTGATCAAAACCTCACTTGTGTGCTACAAAGAATATGCTTGCAGAAGCCTGAGTTTTGTACCATGCTAGCAGAGACCCATTCATCTTCCAGAAAAGTTTGATTGATCACTATAAAATTAGAATCCTATTGGCGAGATAGAAGGGGAGAAAAGAATCGAAAGAAAAGTCCTTCGGGCATCATTCTACACTTCATATTATAGTCCTTATACTCCGGAGAAACCCTCCATGTGTAACAAAAGAAAAACTTTCATCTGAGAATCTAATCCCGTAATATCCTTGGTCTTGTAAATTAGAGAACCTTAGAGTCATATGGAGATCCTCTTTTCTGTGTCTTCTGAATACCCGGGATGGCGGGAGTCTTAAAATTAAACTTTCAGTCAGATTTTAGCGTACTGAAATAA